CCTTGCATGTTGTTCCAGGTTTGGTTGCTATAGCAACAATAATAATCTGATTCCGACAAAAAAGAGCTATACTGTGGTCAAAAACTCATAAAAATCGATTGAGTAGAAGAGTTTTTAAAAAGTTATGTACTTATTAAGGCTAATTTATTGCGGACTACTTTTGCTTGTTGATCAAACATACTACAACACCACCACATGAGAAGGTGAAACTCCTTAGATGAACATTACAATTTAAATCTCATCATTTATCAGTAAAATTTGAAATGTTAAAATTTGTTAATATACTTTGCCTCTTTGTTTGATTAGGTTCCTGTCTATAAGTAGTCAGTGGTACAGCAATGGTGGTTAATGGGTTAACAAGCCTACATATCTGTCCACATCTTGTGTTAACCCATTAACGAGCAATGCGTCTAAATGCGCCCTATTTTAGTATTTACTGTACTCTGTCTAACGCCAGACGATTTTACTAGTCAGTGATAGAGTACTGGTGGTTAATGGGTTAACAAGCCTATCTGCACACATCTCTTGTTAACCCATCAACGCGCAATGTGCCCCAATGCGCCCTACTTTAGTATTTACTCTGATTAACGCCAGACGATTTTACTCGTCAGTGGTAGAGGAATGGTTGTTAACACATTGAGCGCCAACTCTCTCCCCTTGACGAGTAAAATCGTCTGGCGTTAGACAAAGTAAAATACTAAAGTAGGGCGCATCAGGGCGCAATGCAACTCAATGGGTTAATGGGTTAAAGTAAGATGAAATAAAATCCAGCTAAAAACTTCAGCTATTTTGAAATTTTTAAATATATTCATGCGCGCGACCGCTGATCAAAGTAAACTGATAACCTTCCGAGAAATTAATCGGCAGCCAACAAGGGGGAACTTTGTTCTCGCATAATTAGCACGTTTGTTTACATTTTTCTCCCTAAGCTAGAATACGTAAAACGCCAATTTTCTTAACTTACAGCCATTCTGATTGGCTTAGGGCAAATGTAAACAAATGTTCTAATTTGGCGAGAACGAAATTCCCCCTTGTTTTGGCATCCATTTTTCGAATAGGTCTATTGCTTTCAGTCAATGTATGTGCGGTAACTATGCAAGATATAATATACAAAACAAGTGGAACTCCAAAAATCGATAACATTTTTATTTATCTACGTTTCGACTAATCGATTTTTGGAGTTTCACTTGTTTTGTATTTTATTAAAATACTCAGTGGTTCTAGAAATTTCAAGATATAATGTCGAGCAAATTATAGCAAAAATCAAAACTTTTCTTGCTAAAGTTGCAAGAAGCAGGAAAAACGGTGATCAACACTTCTCTTACCTTCTAAAATAGCATGTGGAAGATCTCGATCAATTGTTCTTCCCAGTCCCGATCGAAGTCCTGTTACTGGATCCCCTTTGCCTTTGGTATCTACCGTCTCATAATTGTAAATGGAAAACTTGTCCTTGCTTGTTGGATCAAGCGAGGGCTCAGCCATGGCATCAAGAAACATGGAATCGCCAATAACGAAAGTAGAATGACCACTTGTCTCCATAGTGGTGACCCAGTTGCTCAACCATGCTAAATTGCCGTCGAGATTCAACTCAAGATTCAGACGGCTGTCTTCTCCATAAAAGAGACAGATTGGCCACATTTCTTTTGGACTTTGGTAGCTGCACCCATTGAGAACATATTCATTATTTAAGTTCCCAATGGCAACAGCAACACTCTTTGTTTTCCACATGTACGTGCATCCTCGTACAATTTCCACCATTCACATTCAGTTTCCTGCAACCAACGATAAACAAATTGCAGGCAAGTATGAAGGCGATCAGGCTGGATTCTCCATCCTGTAGCACAACGTTCCGGTTTCAGTACTGCCTCGCACTCTTTTTTAATTTGCTCTTCAGAGTGTCTACAGCATAAGAAGTGCTAATCAATCCTGGGGACTTTCTTCGCACATAATTTATGGCAGCTGAAGCACTGCTGTTATCTTCAACTTGCAGAATTTCTTCCGCAGCGATGTAATGTCGTTCAGCAGCATGTTTGCTGGTCAAAATGTCATACACCGTCTCTTCATTACTTGAATGAATCAATTTAGTTAAATCAATCATATCCTGAATCGAAAACTTCCCATTCCATTCCTTGCTTTCTGGTATCAATGTCTTTTCATGATCAGCAACTACTGAACATGATAATCCTGCCAGAAAATCTTCTTTACTACCTCGGTGAAGTCGTCTGGAGATAAGAGAAAAGGTATTTTCCTGTATGCGGACTCGGTTTCTAAGTGGCCGAGATTTCCATCGTCGTCCAGACTTATGTTCAGCATTGGAGGTCCTTTCTTTATTAAAAAGTTCTGAACTTCTTTGCTAATTTTAAGTGGAGAATTCAGCAAATGCTTTATCGGAGACATATTTTCCTTCGAGCTCAGTGGAGTGGCACCAGGAGCATAAGGACGGTGCCGGGAGGATTATCAGGTTCAATGTTCTTTCTAGGAGTTGTCTGTGTGAATCCAGAGGTTTTCCGTTTGGGAGATGGTGTTTTTCCTTTCTCCTTTAACTCAACACTATGCAACTTTTCCAGCAGACAACATTTTAAAATCTTGCGCTCTTCAACAAAGTTTTCTAGCTTTTGTCCACCACTGAATCCAAAAAGCATGCTAACAAATGCAGCATAGCTCAAAAGGGACAAAAGCCTCTTTGATGCCTACAAAAGTCAAATTTAAGATGGTATCCTTAACCTGGAAGGCTCTATTATGGTCAAAAGGTGTTGATATATTAATGATGTCAAAAAGTGATCATTATACGAAAGTCTGGCCAGAAATGGCAGACATGCTCAACCTAAACCTGAATTTAGCATGTCCTTACTGAGTGTTGTTGTAACTTTACTGCAACATTCAAAGTTGATTAATGACAGAAATATATTCTCTATCTTGCCTTTCTATGCAAAATCATGTATCCTTTATGATCATTGATCCAGTTGTAGAACTTTTGTATGTCAAAGTCATGCAATAAAGTTGGCTTGAAATTAGAATAGAAGCCATAACTTCTGCCTGGTATTTTGGTTAGAGCATCTTCTGACACAAGTTCTCTGACAATCTTCGTCATGTCAGCCTTCTCTGACCTACGCATATGTTTACCAGAGCGCTTGTACAACAACATTGAACTGTCAAAATTTTCCGTTAGCTGTTTCGTTACACCCATAGCATGGCAAATTCTGTTGATGGACTTTGTACTGGCATAAGGTCCAAGTTTTTTGACAACATCTTTGAAAATTCTGTTCAAAAATTCAAGGGCCAGATCAAGAGAGATATTGCCACCCAGCTTTTGTTTTCTTTATGAAAATCTGTTCCAAACTAGATCATGTGCAGCTTTTGGACTTAACAGTGCATATATCTGGAACATCATGTATAGTGCTTCCAGAGCATACTTGTTGCTGCTTTGGCCATCATGGCGCAAATATAACAAAAGAAATTTCCAATTTCTGATTACTCTAGCACCATCTCCCTCAGAAATTGCATCAAAAAAATTAAGAATCACTATACCATACTCGAGCAGGGATGTCTGGTAATTGTACATGTCATCTACTGTGACGTCTTCATGGATTTCAGTCAGCAGTGGTTGCTCTTCTATGTTGACTGGTGGATTGTGAGACTGCTCGTGAGTATGTCGCCATTTCCCATCGGACCTAAATGTCTTGTTGCAACCAGGGAACCGACACTTATATCTGCAACTTGATGTCATATCCTTCAGGCTTTGAAACTGCTTTTCTTCTAGCTGGCTGGTGGCAAGGGCAATCTTTTTGTGCTTGGCTTTATCGAGAATATACTTGTCGACAATTGTTGCTGCTAACTCCTCCAGGTATTCTTTCTTCTTAGCCTTGGTCCAACTCTCAAATTGGTGCGGTACACACTGCGACATCTCTTCTAGTTCTTTAATGCCAAGCTCCTTCATTCTAGCTGCAACAATGCGTGCCTCTAGTTCTAGAATGAAGAAGCGTCTAGAAAGATTAACTGCAGCATCAACATCACTCTTTACACTGCGACGGTTTATTAAATTTCTGTCGCTGTATAATGTGCACTTATCTCCAGCTGATGTTGGGTTGTAGAAGTGGGCAAATGCAATCTGCAAGACAAGTAAAGTATTTAAGTTTTTGATATCAAAATATTGTTATTAAATAAAGTCTTAAAGATCATAAATACAGTAGTGAATGATTATGTAAAGTTAACCAATTGAAAATACACTACTGTATTTGATGTACAGTATTACATTATAATTTTCATTTTATTCATTGTCTCCAAGGTGGTATTTGATTTCCTAACAGTTTAATCAAGACAAAACTCACATAACATCAATAGTTTCATTGTAACATGAAATTTCACCCCAAATGTTTATGGTTGTATTGTAAAGATCACTTAAAATGACTTAATAACTTCTTTTATATAATTTTGGTAACTTGCTCCCTTCGCAAGATATTCAACTTTGTTTCAAATATGCAAATATCACCGGTGTGACATCACATCGCATAATGAGTTTTCAGAAAAGTATAGTTTTCTTGACGAATACGTATCTAAAAAACTTGCTCTTGTATATGCATTCATTTCGTAACTGCTAATTAATCCTCTGTATTTGTTTGTAAAAATATTTTATCAAGGTAAAATATTGTGTTTTCAAAATGTCATGCGATGTGATATCGCACCGGTGATATTTGCATATGAAACAAAGTTGAATATCTTGCGAAGGAAGCAAGTTACCAAAATTCTATAAACGAAGTTATTAAGTCATTTTAAGTGATCTTTACAATACAACCATAAACATTTGGGGTGAGATTTCGTGTCATAGGCACTTTAATTCTTACTGTTTATAGTCAAACCGGATGCTCTCGTGTGAGCAATATTGCAATACTATCCCACAATAATGCAATTTTGATAGGCAGATTGCTCTGAGCAATTTGCAAACGACACAAACAAATTGCAAGTTGAAATTCACAAAAGATTTTGAGACAATATTGCAATGTTGATTCCACAAGAACATCTGGTTTGACTGTAAAACTTGGGATTAGAATTTTCAATAGGGGACAAACTTTGCTAAGGGAATGAGATACAACCACTGGGTACAAAGTCCATCAACAGAATTTGCCATGCTATTGGTGTAACGAAACAGCTAACGGAAAGTTTTGACAGTTCAATGTTGTTGTACAAGCGCTCTGGTAAACATATGCGTAGGTCAGAGAAGGCTGACATGACGAAGATTGTCAGAGAACTTGTGTCAGAAGATGCTCTAACCAAAATACCAGGCAGAAGTTATGGCTTCTATTCTAATTTCAAGCCAACTTTATTGCATGACTTTGACATACAAAAGTTCTACAACTGGATCAATGATCGTAAAGGATACATGATTTTGCATAGAAAGGCAAGATAGAGAATATATTTCTGTCATTAATCAACTTTAAATGAATTGCCCTTCTAGAATTCAGAGTATTGTGACTCACTTCATACAGTGAAAATGTTAATAAAAATATAATGCCACCCTTAATTCGAGTGTATTCTTACTCCAAGTGCTTTGTTTCCAGCAACCCAATCTGCAATCTCGCAGTGAATTCCATCTAAGCGTTCTTCTGGGGTGAAACCATTGATGAGTGTCATGTGAGCATTCACTGCTCTCTCAACTGTCAGCTGATCTCCAACGATTGCCTGACTTGAGTATCTTCGTTCTTCTCCATCGCCAATGAACGGAACATAACCATGGAGTTCCTGTAATATTTTCTGTATGCCATTTCCATCGTTTTCACTCTCGAAAATAACCCCAAGGAAATTCTGAAAGAAATTAACAGTTGAAGT